GAGTTCAGATGAGCTATGAAGTGAGTAAAATGTAAAGTATGTAAATGATGAAAATAATGCACATTTGCACATAACAGTAGGAGAAAGACAGCTGAAATTATGGTGAAGAAATGGGTTGTAAAATCCCATTGTCATGACTACAAACAAGGGGGTGGCCATGGATCAGTGGGTTAGGAGCTCAGCTTACATCCAGAGGGCTCATGTTTGAATTGAGCTGCATGCTAATGTATCCTTGGGCCAGACAACTTACACCAAGATTCTCATTAAACCCCAGCTGCATAGTTCTGGCACCAAGCTTGAATAATTAGGTAAAGTTGTGTTGAGAATCACAAATAAAAGCTGCCAAATATCACAGTGAAATTACCCACTGAAGCTAGTTCTAACAAAAAAATATTTAACTGAACTATAAATATGTATGAATGTTAAATAAAAATCCACACGAATCAGTTTAACATTGTAAAGTCTCAGAGCAGAAGCAAAAAAAGAGAAAATAGAAACATGGGGCAGTACTACTGCACATGCAAAAACCATTACACATTTCAGGATGTACTTTGGAGTGTTTTGTGGCTTATTTCCTGGAAAATACCTGGTTCATATACTTTTCAACAGTGACTCATGTTAAAACTTTCCACCCAAAGAGGTGAAGAGCTGCTGATGTATTCTGAAGTAGTGCCTGAGCTCAGAGTCAAGCAGCAGTAAAAGCAGCATATGTCTGCCTACGAATAACACTGGCTGTGTACTTTTACCATCCATGACAGTGTGGCGGGTATTATTTTCACCGTCTGTGTCTCTGCGTATGTATATACGTATATGTGAGTGTGTGTATGTGTATCATGGAGCCACCTACACCTGTTGTGGCAGGGACTGCGACAAAGACGGTGTTGAATACTCTGACAGGTGTAATTTTTAGTTTGGTCTGCTGTAACAGACTAATAATTAATTATTATTAATAATGAATTAATTATTTCTATAATAATGATTTCACCTTTCTAATCTGTTTCGCCTTTTTGTACATTTGTTTTGGTTTTATTTATGTTGATTAAGATTATTAAACCTTTTCTCAAACTCATCTATCATCTATCTATCCATCCATCCATCCATCCATCCATCCATCTATCTATCTATCTATTCATCCATCTAGCTAGCTAACTAGCTGACTAGCTAACTATCTATATGTACTGGCTTTTGACAAAAACTTTGTCTTTGATGGAAACTAACAATAATCTCCAATAATTCTTCCACCTAAAGACTAAAATTGGGGTTTACAGTACGTCGGTGCCTGTCGATCTGATGTTAATTTTAAAAGTCAACACAGATTCAGAGAGAACTCCTTCAGTGGAGCCGTTCGACATTTACAGCCTTTTTAAAATGCCTGTGATGAAATAAAGAGATTTTTTTCTCTCTCTCTCTACAAATCCCTGAATCTTCACCCCATGGCCTGTTCGTCTAAAGCACTCATATCTACAGGAGCTGCTTAGCTGGTGTCCAGAGTAAACACTTATCTGGGTTTAATACATTGGAGCCACAATCTGCTCACTGCTGGAATAATTATCCTGCGGCAAGTCTGCCCCAACGTAACCCGCTATGAAAAATAAATACAACTTTTACTTCATCTCAGTCTTAAAACCAGCTACTTACATATTCCTTGTTGTATGCTTCTACATTAAAGATATATATATATATATATTTATATATTTCATCCCATTCTCTGTTTAATAATTTAAAAATATTTTTAAACTTTTATCCTTTTTGCCCTGTGACTTCAAAGCACACAGAGTTAGTAATGTAGTAATTATAGCCAACCAAGCTAATGGTGCTAAGTGGGCCTCAGAAAATCAGAGGAAACTAGATCAGTGATTCACAATCTAGGGGGCACCCCCTCATAGTGTACACAACTATTGCAAGTGAGGGACAGATTTATTAAAATGTTATATAAATGTTAATATTTTAACATTTTCAAATGTAACAAATACAATTTTATTTACTTTACAAAAGTAGAAGTTTATAGACACTGCAGAAGTAGTTTGTGAACTCCTGCTTTGGTTTTGACCATACAGGTGTGAATGTGAGAGTTAGAAGAATCACGCTGGGCTCTCTGATCTAGAAAAGTAAAAGCTGACTGAACTGGAAATGTGAAAATGGCCAAATCATATGAGATGCAACTGGGACAAACACTGGAGTGCTGCTCACTGAATATTTCAGGTTAAGTCTGCCACCTCCTGCATATGAGCTAAATGGAGGAAGGAACAGGGACAGAGATGCTTCTCACCCTGGGCAATAGTTCGACCTGAGTTCACTTCCCAATCTTATTCTCATTTAAATTAGCAGGAATAAAACCTAGTGTTGCAGAAGTACCAAAAGTTCACACAGGACGGAACTCTATCACTGGCCCAATTCGTAAATTTAGAGACACCCACAGGCATGTCTGTATTTTGTACCTGTATATATATATATATA